TCAAAAATGTGTTATTGGTGGCCAATTATTCTCGTTTTTTTTTTTTTTTCTTTACTTCCGAGAAGTTGGAGGAATTAAAAAAAAAAACAATTTTCGATAAAATTTAAGCCATAATTTTTATCCACAAATTTTGTAGGAAGTACAATTTGTGTATTTAATTTTTTTCAATCGATTGTATACTTTGCGCGTAGGAATTACGTTCTTCAAAGGGTCACAACTTTTTTACTTTGAAAAATCAAGTGCACCATCAATATTTCAAACATAAACTTCAAATTCTTTAAACAAAAATTCTCCAAATATTGCAAGACACCTGTAACTGTGAGACCAAGACAAAACTCACTTTATCAATGTTTTTCAAGAAAGTTACAATACTATTGTTACAAGTGTAGTATTGGTTGTGTTTTACTCTTCTGAAGCTCCAAGCCCAATCCCGTGAATGACTTCTTCGTATAGTAATATGCATATATTTTTATATATATTTATCCCTCAAATATCCCACGGCGCTTTAAAAATCTTAGACATCAACGTACATTCACTTTTTTTTTCTTCTTTTATAATAAATCGTAAGTATAAACCTAATCTTGTATCTACTATGTATTTTAATCATATATATATTTATATAAACTTCGTGGCAATTACTTTATTTTTTTTCCTCCACTCTATTCTCACACTTTCTCTTTCCTTGCCTTTTTCTCTTTAATTTTTTTCATATATCTTTCATTTTTCATTTGTTTACTTTGTTATTATCATATTGTAATCCCTTGACGTTCACTCCATCTCCTTTTCTATATCCCTTTCACTCGGTTTGACGCATTTACTCCATCATACCTTTTTTTTCTTCAATTTCACACAATAATAATAATAATGATCATGTTAATAATATTAATATACTCACACCTCGTCGTTCAATGCAAGTATATCTATGTACAAGTTTTCGACAATTCGTTCGCTCCTCTCGATATTTATAATTGTATTTATACTTTTTTTTCGACTTTTTTTCTTCTTCTCTGTATTTATATATATAATAACGTACATCGTTGATCTGACAAAACAACAATCGGTTGACATAATATGTTTGTTCCGTAAACAAGTGGTTCATTACGATTATTCGTGTAATCTCTATTCATTAATTTTCCCTTACTTTTTTTTATACAATTATATTTTCTTTTCCACTATTTTTTCATTTATTTATTTTTTTGTTCGTTTCACAAACGCTAGCGCCGTTTTATTTTCTTCTGTATTTGACAATTTGATTCATACTTATGTAACGTATATTATTATATTGTATAATATGACTTCAACTAGGTCAGACGTGGGCTGTTTTCAATTTATTTTACTTTATTATTATTTTTTCCTTCATCTTGTACACCATTAAACTCTGCATTTAGGTTTTTTTTTTCTGTATATCGTTATATAGTGTATATAAAAATTTGTATGTATAAATCTTAATAGGTGCTATTTTTTTCGCTATCATATTTTATAAACTATTGGTTTTTAGAGCCTATACATATCTGTTTTATCCAGCGATGCACTAAATAATTTTGTACTCGTTCTGTTTCTATTGTTTTTTTTGTTTTTGCCATTAATTATTTTTTCCTTATAAAAAAACGTGAAAAAAAAAGAAAAAAAAATAGTACTTGACGAGACAAACAAGAGTTGCTCTGTGTAAAACAAATTAAAAGTCAGATGAACGACCCGTTAATTGACTAGACTTTGTTAAACCGTGATTAATCTACAAACAGTCTTTTTTTTTTTTTTTTTTTTACCTCGTCAAGTAATTCACAAAGACGGAAGGTTCAACTTCCGAGGCGTAAATTTCCCCCAAAAACGGAATAATTTTCGAAAGAGTTTGTCGTACCTTGAAAAAAGCAACATTTCCAACTTTCGAAACGATCGTATGTGCCCACGTCTGTTCTAGACGTTACTGCACACATCGTACCAAATATATATATATATATATGTACACATACACACATATGCAAAAAGTCGACGAAGCGCCATTGGATCATTGATATTCGGCAAAGGAACGGCGAGTCTTTTTTTTTTTTTGTTTTCTCTTTCGTATTGTTTCGGACGTGCAAAGATTTAGCAATGAAAACGACGACAAATGCAGTTTTCCAATGAAATATTCGATCAAATGTAAAAAAAAGAAAAAAAAGAAAAAAAAAATCATCCGTCCAAGTACACTACTTACTTTCAAAGCGTCAAGGTACACATAGGCCGTTCGTGAAAAATTCGTTATTCAACCGCCCAACTCGTTTTATTAGTCTCAATTTTCACACACACCCCCGCACGCATACACACTCGGCGCGCGATTTCAAACAAAACAATCGGTGAAAAAGCTCGTCCACCAATCCAAGCGAGTCCTCATCGAATGCGTTTTTTCCCTTCGCGCGAATCTACGAAAATCGTCGTCGTCGCCGTCGTTGCGGGTAAACGAACAAATACATATTTTTTTTTTTTTTATTTACCACAACGAAACAAATTTTCATCACATGCTGAGAGTCACAAAACTAAGTAAAACCTCCAAGGCTGGAACAAAGATGTCACGAATTTCTAAATTGCACAACAAAGAGTCCAGCATCTAATAAATCAATCCAAGTGTATTTTTGCACGAAAATTTAAAAAAAAAAGAAAAATCTGAATCCCGCGAGGATGCACTCACGTGCTCGCTCGGCTGAGTGGCAACAATATACCCTCTTCTGATGCAAACGAAACACTCGACTTTATTTCTTTTTCGTTCCAATCCCTAGATTAACAATTTACTTGAATAAAATTACTTGTGCGCCTGGATTTAAAATTTTTAGTTTATGAAAACCACGTGAATTATCTTCGGTTGATTTATCAGTGTCGTACACATACGAGCGGATCGGTACGGGAGTGCTTTAGTCGGTGCACAATTGCGCTATCTACGTTTGTGAATGGACGGTTCTAGATATACGGTTTCAGTCATGTACTTCAATGCTTTAACAAAGATATTACGAAATTTCACTTTCCAATGTGCAAACTAGCTATCGACTACTAATCATCTATGTAAATACGAGTGTGCAAGAAAAAAGGGATGAAATGGATGAAGGATGAAAAATAAAAGTAGAATGCATGCAGGGAGTGCGTGGCAAGAGATGACGAAGCAAAAATAAAAACAACTAAAAAATTAATTTTTAAATAATAATTTTATAATTTCGTAAATATATATATTTTTTTTATGTATATACGTGTGGGTATGGGTGTGTGTGTGTGTGTTTGTGTATGTGTGTGATAATGCTACATATTTTACAATTTTTATGTACACATATAAAAATTATTTTCTAGGTAGGTAAGTGTCATAGGAGTAAAATAATTTTTATACATCCTAGATAAAAATCGTAAAATTTCGCGCGCGATTGATTTTGCTATAATCGGCGCAAAAACAGTCAACGACACCTCGAACGATATTACTGATAATTGAGGGGTGGAGAAAAACGATTAATAAAAAAAAAAAAAAACAACAACAGTCTTTTCGACAACTGTGGTCGGCTATTACAGAGTTTCATGCAAATACAATACTTTATTGCGTGTATGTGTTTTTACGGCAAAATGAAATCGCAGTGTTTACAATTACTTGATTATGATAGTTAATACTTCACGTCTGTGTGTGTATTTTTTTTTAATTACTGTATCTAATATTGAGAATCGGCAAAAAATTACGTATTTATCGTGGTAAGCCAATAATATTATAATAATAGAGTTGTAGTATCGTAATGCAAAAACATCATTTTTATCATAATATACAATGCACTGTTGCGGATAATGTGGATGGGCGCGTGTTTTTGTGTACAATATAGTTCGGAGTTTACATAAAATCGCATACGATGATGATCGCTCGGATGTACAATTATTGTTGTGTCGCTTTTATACCCTCGTAAACGCTGAATAAATGAGAAAAAAAAATTTTCAGGAGAAAAAAGGAGGCGAGGGAATGGGACAGTATAACAAAATGCCTCGTCGGTTTTTCAAATACGCAGTAAAAAAAAAAAAAAGGAAAAAAAAAAATACAATCTCAACGAGAAAAACGGAGTAAAACACATACTTGTTTCTCTCGCTCGTTTGTTCATTTGGACGTGCTCCTTTTCTCACTCTCTTCATTTTTTTTTTTTTTTTTACTAATATAATTAATTATAATATCGAGTAAATGTTTATTTCGTAGTTCTCGTTAATATTACTGGATAATAAATATAATACAAATCTATATGGATATAGATGTCTCGGTATATGTATGTACAATACAGTTATGATACAATTTCATTTGTTCGTTAATCCACCTTTTTTCTTCCTTTTTTTATTCTGCTCTCCCCTGCTCGCGCGTACATATAGTCTTCGGTCGACGCATTCACGCACTCACACACGTTCACTCGCACCGCGTAGTCGTCGCTCACTAAATTTAATTTGATCATACATAAATTAGAATGAAAAAAAAAAGAAGAAACTAAAAATTAAAAAACAGTCAAGTTTTTTCGTTTCCTTCCTCTCAACGCGCGGGGAGGAATATCGCGAAATCGACGCGGTCCCGGAGAGTCAATAATACCTTTCAATTATCTTATTTTTTTATTTTTTAATCTCAATCGCGCGATCGATTTCGCCCCAATATTCATCCTCGCTTCGATGTTTCCCTATTTACACGGAGGCCTGCACGGGCGGCCTCCTCATGTTAATCACCTTCTCGCGCATGGAATGATGTGCGGTCTACCGATTTTTCTATACGCTTTTACACTCGCGCGCTTCGGCCGATCGAGTCGCTCTGTGTTGGGATGAAAAAGAAAGAAAAAAAAATCGGGATCTACAGGACTCGCGGAAATCGACTCGATCGGCCGATTCAGACAACGCGAGGCGAATCGACAATCGGTACCAAGGTTAATACATACATATATATATATATATATTTGTATATACTTGTGTACGGAGAGAGAGATAGCGCGCACGAGACGACGATTTTCGCGCGCATTTAGGAGCTTTCACGAAAGAGGCACGTTGATTTTGTTTTTTACCATTAAACAATACAAAATCGGCTTTTCGCTACTGGCGGCAATTAAACGCATACACATAAATATACAATAATCAATAATAATCGAAGTAGTGATCGATACGTAATAGTCAATAGCGATCTGGCGCTCGAGGACACTTGTGTCGGTGTGCATATGTGTACGTACGCGCATGTAAGTAAAACCTATAATATAATATGAGCACACTCGCGTGTACCGTGTACAAATATACCTAAGAAAAACACACGCGCGCACAATCGAATGACTCGCGTATTTTCTTCAATATTTTTTTTTTTTTTTTTGCTTTTTTTTTGCGTTTCGTAAAAAAGTATAAGTAGTGCGTGACAATCATATGAATAGGCGTACCATGCAATGCAGTGCCTAACAACAGTCCGTCGCATACTCTCACGTTTAACAATTAATATGGCTTGTTTGGGGGGAGGGGTACAACGTATATAATGTATACAGCCTTTGGCCGAAAAAACCCTTTTTTTCTTTTATTTTTCCTCTCCCTTATCCATCGCGAGACAATCATCGGTTTGCTGCCGCCCCGTCTCTCCCGTTTTTCTGTCGAACGCGCGTACACAGTGTCATTATTCACGCGGTGTAGAACGAGTGACGCCATTTCGATGTCTTCGAAGAACAAATGAACCAAAAACTGTGAAAAATCAGAGTATAACTTGATTGGGTGGGTGTCGCGCGTGCAACATCGTTGATCGTGTCCCTTCAGTAATTGACGGTGGCAAAGCGCTCGGCGACGAGGGCGACGACGGGGTACAAGGACGGCAGGAGCAGGAGCGTCAGGTCAACAAGATCCGCCAGGAGGGGGGCCCCTTGGCGTCGATCCCCTTGGCGTGAGTCGCTTCACCGGAGCATCAGCAGTTGGGGCAGGAAGGCGCTGCACAGCAGCGCGAGCGTCCACGCGGCCAGCCACTGTTGCTGCTGTCGTTGGCTCGTTGGGCTTATGAGGGCGCGCGCCGTGCCGCCGCTGTTGTACGTCAGCTCCTCGTTCTTCACCACTTCGTTCGGGTGGTCCGAGTACTCTTCTGTGGGAGATAACGATTTTAAATTTTTTTTCTTCTTTTTTTCAATGGTTTAAAATATCATATAATACATATAACACAAAAACGTAAATAATAGTAAAGCTATAGGGTCAGCCGTATAATTTGTATACCGTATAGCTTTACACGGTGTTTTTTTTTTTTTCTTCTAGCAAAATCCCAGTCGGTTGTTATATTTTTACTCCCGATTGACCACCAAATTCATCAGTGAGAGAGACACCGATCTTGTTCACACCGTTTTATTTATCCTCAATCGAGAGTAAAAATAACTGTGGAGCTATACGGTAAAAATGACAGCTAAGATTCGTTGGTCACCCAAATTACCCCGCATGGTTATTTTCCCGGTGTGAGCAAAAAAGTTCCCATGTTTGGTTTGTGTATTACTTGTGAGCGAAATAGCGGCATTTTTCCATACACCGAGTCTCGATATTTTTTTCTTTTCTCTGCGGAAAGCGTCTGTTTTTGTCGAGAGACGAGAGACGCGCGTTACTCTTACACACACGGGGTCGGGAAACAATGAACTGGCTCCCTAATCAACAAGAGCTCCGTGTATAATACGTTGCAGGCCAAAAAAGGGACGGGCGAAAGGCAGGCTTTTATGTATTTATTTATTTATTTTTTTTTTTTCTATTTTCGCAAAACAGAAAGACAGAGAGAGAGAGAGAGAAAGGAAGAGGGAGGGTGAAAAAAAAAAAAAAGAAGAAGAAGCCGGAGGTAGTATGTGAAATAGCGCGGAAAACGTGCAGGGCTGCAGAGACGGGGAAAAATAGAGTAGCTCTCGTGTGTGTACGTGTCATCCCCCAGCCATGCAGAGTCTCGACGGCGGACGAATTTCGCAAGGGTCTCTCTTATATACTCGCTGTACACGGCACATGTGTGTGTGTGTACATTCATTATGCAGAAAAGCGGCGCGGAAGAGAAGAGAGACTACTCAGACTGTGCACGTCGGGGGATTTCTGACGTATACGGTGCTCTCTTAAATACACACGTATGTGTATAATAGTACTCTCTCGAGTCAGACACCGTATATATATATATTATATAGAGCCACTGTGGAGCCGAGATTGAGTTTTTATTAATCCTTTTTTCCCTCTCTTTCTCTCGATGAATTCACATGTTACCGATTTTCACGATTCTCTACATGTAAGCGATTTATGGAAAAGAAAAAGAGAAAGGGGTACTATAGGGTTGCACGGGAGCTCGGTAGGTGCAGTGACAATGCAAATGAGGACAAGAGAGAGGTGGTCTCGGCCGCACTTGGAAGTCAAATTACCGGGCGATGATGACGAAGAAAGATCGATCGGACAGATGGCCGGCGTCCCCATGTATACACCCGTGTGTATGTATACATGGAAGCACCACTGTGGAGCATCTATCTTTTTCTTTCTTTCTTTTTTTTTTTTTTTTTTTTCGAGGTATAAGTACGTACGTAGTGTACAAGAGGAAGGGCTACGCGTTTGTGTATATACTCGCGTGCTCCGTCTATTCTTCGGAAATAGGGCTTCTCTTTCGCGCACGCACGGGCTATTAAAAATGATTGTGCTCACTCACGAGAGTATACATATACCATGTTATGTTACGTAGGTGCATTCATTATTGCGAGGCGATGGCTTACAAGAAAGGGGCGGCCGATGGCTCCGTGGGTACGTTACCGATCTTGGACGATTTTTCCGCAGTTCCGTCCGAAAAACAAATAGGCCGAGAGAAGTTTTCCAGCTTCGAAAGCGGGGTTTTTTTTTGTTGAAAAACTCTGGGTGGCGAAAGGCCGTTCGATCGACTCGGCGAGTACCGTTTTATTCGAGAGTACGTCCGATGCACGGGAGCGAGAATTTCTTTTACTCGTACGTTGAATAACTTCATCCAGTAGTTGGAGAGTTACGTCGACTCCAAGGATCGGAGGGTGAACCCGTCTCTGTAACACTCGTACGCAGGAAGGGAAGCAGCAACATCCCCCCCCCCAACTTATTTTTTTGTACAAGACGCTCTTTATTTTTTCATCGCGGATTAATTTGCTGCGCCTCCACATTGATTCCTTCGCTCGCGTGTGACTGTCGTCATCAATTCAGATGGTGTCTTCCGTTGACCCGTAAGTTATACCCATAGTGAAAAAAAAAAACAAACTTGTGGCACGATATAATATCTTGATCAAAAGGGAAGCTTTTAATCAATCAGTTTCTTATACCCAATTACACGACCCAGCGACAAATGGCCATCGCGTAGTAGTACCATGGAACTATTCGATGGTACTTGGTTAACCAGAATTGCCTCTCTTTTCCCGTATACCACAAGTAATACACAAACAGCAAAAAATGATAAAAGTAAAGTACGTACTGTTCTTCTTCTTCTGCGTGACGGTGTTCTTGGGTGGCTGCGACGCTGGGGGCACGTAAGTCTGATGGGGCGGGTAGCCGAGGTACGTGGGCTGTTGGGGCACGTGGGCCGGGAGGTCGGGCTGCTGTTGGCTGTGCTCGTTGCGGTGGATGGGGTTGTGCGGGTTGACGGGGTACAGGCGCTCGCCACCCTTGTACACAGCGGGCGAGTTGGCCGAGCCGGGCTGCTGGTAGCCGTGGTTAGCGTTGATGTTGCCGTTCAACACCGCGACGCTCGTCGAGCTGCTGCTGCTGCTGCTGCTCACTGTGCTGCTCGTCACCGCCACCGCTGAAAAAGACGATTGGGTTATCATTGCGGGACTCTTTATCAAAAAATACAGCGAGTAATGGGATTATCTGGTACGATATGTATGTATACGGTATACGAAATTCAGGGTGACAGGGTCAAGTAATAACAATCGGACAGTAATTGGAAGAAAAATTGGAAATTGCTTTGTTTATTTATTTACCACGTCAGTTTTATCATTTCAATTAACCCGTCAATGTCAAAACAATCATTAAATACTTATTAATAGTTATCAGTATCTATATTATGCTACAAAAGTTTAATACTATTTTTATCATAATTATGACTATGTATTTATAAATAATTATTTAGTTTGGAATTAGTTTTATGGATTAATGTATAATTCTTAGTATTGTAAAAATGTTTTTTCTTTTTTTTTTTTTTTTAATTACTGCTCCTACAACGCTGTACTTGACCAAATATTAAAGTTCCTTTATTTCTTTGTGACCCTTTTTCCTCATTAGTTATGAAAATCTATTTTTTCCAGCATCAATGATACTCCGTGTTTAAAAAAAAAAAAAAATTACATCGCACAAATATCGCTGTGTAAGTGTAGTTACAAGTACTGACTTGCGGCTCGTAAGATCGAGTGCTCTCGCCAGATTGACACTATTGTAATGGTTGCGCCACGAAACCAATTAAAGACGTCCGGCTTTTATCGATCAGAAATTATGTTTTAACGAGAGAACAGATGGAAAAAACGCGAGCGTAAAAGTTAACGTGGTGTATACCACAGTAGGATTGATTTTATATAAACCCAAAGGTACATTCACACTAATGCTTTGGGTATACATACACGTTATATACACTCGACTCTCGTCAAGGCACCAAAGTAATAATAATAAAAGGAAAAAAGAAAAACAAAATGAACCAGCACAATGGGATCGAGTGTAATGCCCGTACATATATATTCAGTTCGAAATAGACGTGAAGCCTCAGGCAATGTCGAACTGCGCCGAGGCGCATTAGATGATTCCGTCAAACGAAAGCCGCTGACTCGAAAAAAAAAAAAAAAAAAAAAAAAATCATATAACCACACGTACACATGATGGCTTTTGGTTCCTCGTTAGGGTTACCTGAGCGTATAGGCCGTCCGTGGATTATAATAGAAAGGAAAGGCGGCGAGTCACGCCGAGGGCGAGGATGTGTATTAAAAAAGAGAAAAAGAAACACGCGAGGGGAGAGCGAACGAATTTGGCTGATGGAAGCAGGTGTGTGCTGTCGATCGTACGCGTATACGTGGGTCTCGTGCATTCATGTAAGCGCATACTGCTTCGTGGCTTTCTTCTTCTTCTCCTTTCTTACATTTTTTTTTTTTTTTTTTTTTTCCAAAGGGAGCTCTCGAGGACCACTATACTGTGGGCCTCCTCGCCGCGATATTTGATCGATGGAGCTCGCGGTGGTGAGGAGCTTTCTTTCTTTCTTTCTTTTATTTTCATTTTCTTTTCTTTTTTCCATCATACTGACTTTGTTTCTCTTGTTTATCATGAATTACCGAGAATTTCACATACTCTCGTGTACCAGAGTGCGCGCACTTTCTTTTTTGGTCTGAATTTTTTTTTTTTTTTTTTTTTTTTTTTTCATCTGCACTGAACTTTTATGTATTCACGAGAAGAGCGCGTGCGTTGAAAAATGGTAAAGAGTTTTTTATACATTTTACCATCCTAAAGATGTAATATTTTATCGTTTATTAAAAATAATTGTTGTAATTTTCACGTGAGATCGATTTTATAGCTACTTGATCCTGTGACTTTAGACTAGGGTCCTTAAAAGATAAAAAAAAAATAATAAATAAACAATTTAAAAAATGCTGTAATGCACATTAACTGTATGTTTTTAGTTAAATTATCACATTTTTGTTTCCTCTGTTTATTATAGGTACCAAAATATATTGAATTGTCAAAAAAAAAAACAAAAATAACTTACAATTGTTGCGCGACGTCGCCGGGTACGAGGACGAGTCGGCCTCATTGCCGCAGCAGACCTTGAAAACGACCTTCATGTTGTGGGTGGTGCAGCGTCCGCCGATGCGCCTGTGCAGGTCGTCCTTCGAGGATGTGCTGATGAAGTAATAGTCGCGGCCGGGATGGAACTCCAGGCCGCCTGGTTGGGGCGTGAACGGCCTGAAGGTTATCGTGAAGTAGACCGTCTTGAAGGGCTTGTCGCAATTGGCTATTATCCGAGGCGTTGGATTCGTTATCCGGCACGTCTCGTACTCTTCTTTCGACACCTGCATTTTGGACCCCATGGATTTAGAAATATACGTACATGTAGGTGGGAAAATGAGCTATCGTTGTTATTGCCATTTATTATTATTATTATTATTATTATTATTTTTTTTTGAGAGTATACGATTTCAAAGTGATTTCATTGGGTAGCTTTTAGGAAAAAATTTAAACGATTATAATATTCAAGTCGTTTCACGCGAGTTTTGTATTAATGACTTCCATAACGATTTCATGACGTATAAATGATTTTCGTCGGTTCCAGCCCGATTTCGTCAAGGAGGACCGCAAGATTTTGACTCGTAATACCCCCCCAAACGACTTTCAATCAAATAATCGTCCTTAACTACGAAATGAAAAAAAAAAACTTTAAAAACTATAGCTACTAGAAATTAAGCAGAGTCAATTTCGAATCTCAAGTGCAGTCAAGCCGCGAAAATATATGCACAGAGCGCGTGAGATAGTATACGCGGGGAGCACAATGCCGCGCGCCAAAGCGAAACCCGTTTGTCCCCCCTCGATATTCCGCAATAAATCAGTTATTTAATACAAGTGTACGGGCCTCTCGCGAAAACTGAAAAGATTCATAGCGTGTGCAGAACGAAGAGGGGGTGAAGGGAATCGTACGGAAATCGCAGCAACGAAAACAATGAACGCGCAGCGAGGGGAGGGGGGTTTTGCAAGTAAACGTCGCGCTCCCGCTCTCCACGTGCACGGAGCGAAGGACGAAACAATCACCCGCGCTCGCTCGCGTTTTTTTCTTCATCTTATATGTGGCGTATGAAAAAAAACAAAAAAGAAAAAAAAAAAAACAAGGCGTGTGTCCCGAAAAGCCGCGCGACACGTGTTTTTCGTTAGGTGTATTCGTAAGAGGCCGTAATTTATAGCTCGGCGCGCGCAGCTGTCTAAACAAGCTCACCGAGCTTGAGCTTTTTTTCGTCATCTGCTGTGTGGGAACGGGAGAAAAAACTTAATTTTCCAACCCAAGCTTATACGTGTCGGAGTTAATTTTAATAAGGCCGGGAGATCAATATCCGAGCTTTTTCCTCTCGCGGAGCGGATGTTCCGTCTATAGCTTTTTTCTATTTTCACGTGCGACCGATTGCTAAAGGCTCATTGGCAGCTGAAACCCTGCGCAGGGAGGGGGCTCCCAAGTTGCTACGGTAAATCAAGCTTACAACACCGTTCGGATGTATATTTGAAAGCTCACGGGGGTCATTGTTATGAATATCATTGTTTTTTTTTTTTTTTTTCAAGCCTGCTATCTATTCAAATTTTTATCTATGCATATATATATATATATATGTGTGTGTGTGTGTGTGTACACTTACGTTGTAAATGATGTACTTCTCAGCTTCGTCATCGTACGTGCCCGGCTGGTAAACCGGGCAGATTATGTTCACCTGGTCGTACTCGAACTTTGCGTTGTTCTTGTTCACGTCTATTATGTGATCCGTATTGTCTATCCGAAATCTGTAACAAAAGTGAAAAAAAGAAACGCGTCAGTTCACTTGCTTCACGTGATTTGCATCAATTGGTACATTTATTATATTTTATTTTCTGTCACAATATCATCGAACTCAACTTTTCGCAAACTCTTGAAAAACCAGGGTGTAACTGGGGGTGCAAAAACCATTCTAGCCCCTTTTTTCTCTTTCTGAATGATTCGTTGAAAAAAAAACCGGTACATATGAGATGGAGAATCCGTACTCCAGAAAAGGACGAGCGGGGTGTCGTTAATTACCAACTCATATATAAGTATACACACACGTGCAATTTTGAGCACTCATATGTGATTTAAACTACATCCATATTACAGACGTGCAGAAGTAAAAAGAGAGAAAACGAAAGAAATCCGGAGATGGGGGGCAAAGGGGGGCTAAAAGAACGAGATGTATCCCGATCGGCGCCAGCGAAGCGGACACAAGTGCTTGCGCAGAGGGGGTGGGGGGGGGGAGGAGGGCTCGAATTCCATCGGGCCGCGACAGGAGCAACAACGGCAGCATGTATGTAACCGGGAGCTGTGTGTATATACATACACACATGGGAGGGGGCTGGGGGGAGGCGGTGTAGTGTTTTGTTGGCCGAAAAAGAAACAGGGATTTTTTCTCGCAAGCTTTCACGACGCATTAACATCCAGCGCGAACGAGGAGCCAGGGATAAGGAAGGGAGTGTCGAAGGAGGAGGTGGGCCGCGGCGAAGGAATAACATCGTGAGAGTAGCTGCTGCGGCCGGAGAGATGCGGGTGAAAACGAAGGCGCAAAAACACGCCTGCACCTCCTCCTCCTCCTCTTTTGTATGTATACCTTTTCCTTCCCTCTTTCGCATCCTCCTGCTTTGTATGTATACCTACGCTTCTTCGTAATCCCGTACATGTATACATACATATTCCTGCGCTTTATAACGAAAGTGCCCGGGAGATGGATGACCAACGGGGGGTCAAGGGTACATCTAGATGGATACAGAAATTTTTTTTCATTTTATTCTTCTATTAAACGAGTTATTGTCATGTATTAAACCTTCATGCGGTGTACTATTCTAAACAACCGATTTCAAGACGCTCGTAAATTTCAAATTGCCGGTCGCGCGCGCGCTGTACACCAAAAAAAGAGAAAAGAAAAGAAGAGGGTGAAAAAAAGGGTATACCTACAACAGCAGCAACAACGCCCCGCAGTAAATAAATCTCTCCCCCCCCCCCCCCCCGACCCCCCGAGTTACGCGCGAGCGCGTTGTTTTTACCCGCGGAATAATGAGGCGGGACTAGTTTTTGCCCCGCGTCGCGTTATGTTCCCCCACCCCCCCCTCCTCGTGCGTATGTACACGTATATGTGTGTACTTAATACCCAATCGATATTTACAACTGAAAAGGAAAGACAGCGAGTGTAGGTATGTATATACATGCGAAGGGAATCAGAATCGAAAAAGAATACGTCGGGCGTATGATGTAAAAGAAGAAACGTATAGGAGAGAAGAAGTCAGGATGAAAAAGAGCGGAGAGGAGAAATGAGCGCCTGCATGTATACTCTGGAAGAGGAGAACACCGAGGGCCTTTCTCGCGGGGTGAGAAAGGAGCTCCTGCGGGGCACAACCGGTTCTGCTGCTCCTCGCTCTCTCTCTCAACTATTATGTGTGTGTAAGGTACATTATACGTGTGTGTGGACCCCAGCACACCGTATACCCTAAGTATCCCATATGTACCCCCTGCACCTCCTCGGCAGGATATAGAACTTATTTCAACCTCCCCCGCGACTTTTTTTTTTTCTTTCCCTTTTGGTCATCTTTGCGCTCGTGGCGAGGAGCCTCCCTCCCTTTTTTCCTTTCTTTTTTGTCTTGCCAGGTCCATATTATAAATACCGTGACGTGCTCGTGCGCGTACATTGGAGTAGGCTTATTTTTTAAATTACTTTATTTTTTTTATTTTCATTTTTTTTTTTTTTTGCCACCTCAACTTGGTGCTCAATTTCCTCAATCAAAACTGCGAGAAAGTTAGTCTCGAGTACAACTGTCTGGTATATACACACGCCCATTGCCATCCACTTGACAAAACTAGTAATCACACAGTGAATATCCCGCCCAGTCAGAGCTGACAATAGTACCTATAATGTCTAAATTTCGCAAAACACCATAATACTCCAAATATAACTTCCTCGAAGCTATTGTATGTATACGTGTTGCAGGTCGAAGCCAACGCTCACGCGATGGCAAGCGGAAATGGGGCGACTTTGGCTGAGAAAAAGCGTGTAATTTTCGTAAAAGTGGCCTTAACGAGACTCCACGCGCAGTGGGCGATCGTAAAGGGGTAAACCCGTCGTAAAAAAAAAAAAAAGTAGGAACAAAAGACAAACGAAGAAATACGAGAAAGGGTATGAATTTTGCAGACGTGCGTCCACGCGCGTGTCGAGTCGTCGGGAAGGGTGTATACTCGATGCAAAAGAAAAATTGGAAGGTGTGTACTAGCGAGCTCGCCCCTCTCGCGCGTGCTACGCTGCCATTACTTTTTTTTTTGTGCGTCGACTATTCGCTTTTTTTATGCGCTTCGCTCATCGTTTCTCGGAAATGGGCGACCAATCGTGCTTGATCTAATTTTTTTCCTAGCACGACGCGAGTAGTCCCGTCGTCGCAGCGAGCCGTAGTAATAAAAATAACGACACAACTGTCCGCGAGCATAATAGCCGGGCCCTATAGAGAATACCTCGATAATTGCCACACCCACGGACGGAGCCGAGCGAGGGAGCGCGTACATATACGATACGATTTTAGAGAGAAAGGGAGAAACCTAAGGGGGAACGGGCGAGTATGGCTCTCGGATGCGTTTCTCTCTCCCCGCCCTCTTTTTTCTTTCTTTCCTTTCGGCATCAGAGTGTACGAGTCGGCCGAAAAAAGAAGAGCACGAGCGCACCCACTCGACTCTATACAACGCAAAGATGACGATCTTCTTTCTCTTACCGATTTCCCTTTGGTCCCACGTAGACCCAAAAATCGCTGTATAATACGACCCTCGTTATGCGACTCGCGCCACAGATGAGCCCGATAATCGGCGGCAGCGACTATGGGTCTTTTTTCCTTGAAACAAAAGAAAAAAAACAGAGAAAACTCGGGTGCTAATGAAATATATATATATATTACACCTCGGTGCGTGATCGTTCCTATACCTCGCAGGAGTAATATATACGGGACAAAAAATTAAAAAAAAGGGGTCGTTTTAATTGAAATCGCGCGCTCGGGACAAAGTGTAAATACGCGGGGTTCATTTGAAAAATGAAGGTGTATGTGATCGTTATTTTTGTTGTTGTTGCGATTTGTTCTGCCAGCGCGTATAGGTTGATTAAATCGATACCGATCTCATCTGCGCGATGTACCGTTGCTCGAAGGACGCCGTATTAATTAGCCCTCTTTTCTCCCCGTATGTATACACACTTCTTCGAGCGGATATGATAAGACGCCTATATAATTGCGGGGCAGGATTGATATTATATTGTAGCCGTACGTGCACAAATTGATATTTATACGTCTATATATATACATGGCGCACCTGCTGTGGCCCGCTCTCTGGGGGAAATTGATGGAGGTTAAGGCTTCGATCGGGTTAATGGGCTCGATATTTCAAGCTGATTGTTTTGGGCCGATGCCGATTTTCGGAGTTTCAAGCTACAGTATCGATTTGATTACATCGTTCAAATGACTCGAAAATTTGTCTCCACAAAAGGGCATATCAATTATCGCCAGCTAGTAGAACAAAAAAGAGAGAGAGATCGGTATATTAGAGGCAGAAGGTGGGCACTGGAAAATCGGCTACGCTCGATTGAACGTTCACCTGGAGAGACACGCGCGGATTTAAACGGAACGAAGGACGAACCGATCTGTACAAGAGGAGGGGTTGAAAAGCTGTGCACACGTGTGTATAGCATCAGTTTGACGGAAGAGACGAAAGAGAGTTCTAGAAATAGGAGGCACCGCGAGCTCGAGACTTGGAAAAAGAGGATGAACTGCGAGCTATGCGAGAGCGAGTGAAAAGCAACACATGCGTCCCGGACCACAAAAGGTGAGAGCCGAGAAGGAGCCTTTGGTGCGCAGCCCTTTCATCTTGACACTGATTTCATTCCTTTTACTTGCTTTGCGAGTTTTCGGATGCACGTGGGTATATATATATATACACACATATCGTCCGGGGTCTTTAATTGCGCGATATACACGGAGCGAGAGAGGAGGATTATTTTTAAGCGCGTTGAACCGACTCTATATGCGTACCTATATACTCTATCTCTCTCTCTCTTTCGAGGAATCGGACCAAAAACAGAGGGTATTTATTGAAAAGAAAAAGAATTACATCCGACAACAATGCTTTCTGTCACACATACATTCGCCATACCGATCACGCAAATAACACACCATATCATGCAGGACGATGCGAGAAACCCTGTCATTACACTGTATACCCACACACAGGCAGACAGAGTGCACACGTGTGCATGCCGAGTGCCAAAGAGCCGTACAGTAAATAACGATCGGCCGAAATGCCGTTTCCGCGTACGGTTAACGATCTCGGCGAAAATCGGTTTCTCTCCTCGCACTTGCCGCCGATGCGCGCATGGTAGCCGGGTCGAGGTGTGGCGCATCAGACGAGGATTTCGCGCCCGTTTGCACCTGCCTCGTATACATATATATATATATATATATACATATACATAAACACGTATACATACCGATCATCGGTAGTTAAGGGCGCGAGGAGGGAGAGGCGGAGGACTCTTCGATTGCTTCCCTCGGGTATACATGTATGTGTATTGCGGACGCTCGGGTTTCGTTGAACGAAAACTGAAGGATGATGGAGAGAAGGATGCGCGCGGGTATAATATACGTATACGCGCCGATCCATTCCCACGGAGGCGAAGACGTCGCCACGGGGCAGCGCTGATGCTCCTCTCTCTCGCTTCTCATTCATTCATCTTTCTCTCTCTCTCTCTCTCTCTGCTTCTCCCTGTGTGTGTATAAATATATGTATATACGTGCGAGTATTATATTATATTATACCTTGGTGAAATTATCGCCATGCCGATACATATGTATATATGTATATACGTATATATATTACATTTGCACGAGAATGTGTCTGACTATTGCGCCGATATACGTGTGTATATGTAGAGAAAGGGAGGATGGACGGGAAGAGAAGAGCCCCCATCAAAGCAAAACGCACATAGTGTGTATATTATACATATTGTACACCGGATACCTTGCTTCTTTTTTTTTTTTTTTTTTTTTTTTTTCTCGATTTGCGACGATTTCCTTGCGGTGCACTCGAGGCTATATACGTGGAAGAGAGTCGTATCGCACTTGTATGTATATACATTTTGTTATAACAATAATAATGATAACAATGCGAAGGAGAGAGAGGGCGAGCGGTGCAATTTGATTTTGAATTATATAGGTGCGATGTATGCTCTCTGTGTACACCTCGGGCTCTCTCTTTTTCTTCGAATTTCGCGGTAATAATATGACAACGAGAGGGTTTTATTGTTGCACTGGGTACAACCTGCGGTGTAAATATATATGTATATAGATACATATGGACATAATTTTTCCGTCGATGTGTCTTTGAAAACGCCTTCCCCTGAGATGATACGAGGTATTCAGACTAATGCCGCGAGCGCACGTGGTAACTGTTTTGTCGCTCGCGCGAGAGAGAAAGAAAAAAAAAAAAAAAAAAAAAGAAGAAGAAGGAACGAAGGCGCATAACGCTGGCAAAAGAGATGCAGCGGCGGCGCAGCAGAGAGGGGAAGGATGTAATACGAGAAACAGTTACGCGGAGTGTAAAACGCGGCGGCCTTTCAAGCTCCTTCCTCCCTTCCTCGTCTCGAGTCGTGGTTGTTATAGTTTGCCTTCAAACAACATTTATCCAAATATACTTTATTACGGGTGTGACATATCTCCGGGTGCATACACACGTAATACGACACATGCACGCAAGTGTAGAGCACGTCTTTTCAACCGCGAGAGTATATAATTATACACTCCAGCTCACCTCTCCCTTTTTTTTCATTTCTTTTTCTTTTCCTTCGCACCGGCCGCAATTCCCGGTGCTTACTAAGCACGTTGCATTGTCTCTCGTGATTGGGATTTGAGGAGAGGAGGAAAACAAAAAGTGACGAGGTCCGGCAAAAAACCGGTATCGGATGACCATCGTGTTTATCTCAAATTAATGATAACAGCGTAAATAACTATAGGCAACCTCCACAAAAGCACTCCCGAAAGTATGTATGTGTCGTTGGGGCACGGATGCGCCCGTGAAATTCGGCGAGAGCGCAACGGCTCATTAGCAGCGGCAAAAGTGAGACGTTTCTTTGGAAGAAAAAAAAAAAAAAAGAAGGGGACGACATTAAAGGAGCCGAGCAGAGCTTTGGTTTGCTGATCGATCATGCGTATTTACATGCGTGTTGTACGAGTTAAGCGGACCGGTCGCCGAGAGCCACGGTGATCGTTCCTATACCTCGCAGGAGTAATATATACGGGACAAAAAATTAAAAAAAAGGGGTCGTTTTAATTGAAATCGCGCGCTCGGGACAAAGCTATCTATTCAAATTTTTATCTATGCATATATATATATATATATGTGTGTGTGTGTGTGTGTACACTTACGTTGTAAATGATGTACTTCTCAGCTTCGTCATCGTACGTGCCCGGCTGGTAAACCGGGCAGATTATGTTCACCTGGTCGTACTCGAACTTTGCGTTGTTCTTGTTCACGTCTATTATGTGATCCGTATTGTCTATCCGAAATCTGTAACAAAAGTGAAAAAAAGAAACGCGTCAGTTCACTTGCTTCACGTGATTTGCATCAATTGGTACATTTATTATATTTTATTTTCTGTCACAATATCATCGAACTCAACTTTTCGCAAACTCTTGAAAAACCAGGGTGTAACTGGGGGTGCAAAAACCATTCTAGCCCCTTTTTTCTCTTTCTGAATGATTCGTTGAAAAAAAAACCGGTACATATGAGATGGAGAATCCGTACTCCAGAAAAGGACGAGCGGGGTGTCGTTAATTACCAACTCATATATAAGTATACACACACGTGCAATTTTGAGCACTCATATGTGATTTAAACTACATCCATATTACAGACGTGCAGAAGTAAAAAGAGAGAAAACGAAAGAAATCCGGAGATGGGGGGCAAAGGGGGGCTAAAAGAACGAGATGTATCCCGATCGGCGCCAGCGAAGCGGACACANGCTTTCACACGCCGCTTTTGGGGGTTTTTTTTTTTTTTTTTTTTGTTTTTTTTTCGTTTCTACGAGACACGGGTACCATCGCAACGTGTATAAGTACGGAACGGAGGGTACAAAAACACAACAGAGACGGGGGGAAACGAGCGCTCATTGACGCGCGTGTGGGTAGATACATGGATCTTTTTCTTTCTTTTTTTTTTTTACTAAAAAGTGAATGAGGCGGCTGAAGAAGAATAATCACGTGTCCCTATACATATATATACACACGGATATTGTCGTCAGCAGCATTTTACACTTTAAAAAGATAGAGAGGGGGATGGAACTTATTTTTTAAACAAGTGCAAGCATACGAGTACTGCTTTTTTGATTTTTGTGCTCCCCAAGGCAACAGCCTGACCCACCCCGTAAGAGCGATACCCCGCAAATGAGAATATCCTATGTTAAGTTTCTACTTCTTCTTCTAACCTCGTAGGTTTGCAACACAACCACAACAATGGCTCGTTGGTCTGGTATACGTATACGCAGGTAGAGAAAAAAGAAAAGAAAAAAGTGTACTCGTAGGGGGAAGGAAAAAAAGCTCTCGATGGCGCTGGAAAAACGGAATCGCCGCGCTCTCCGTTAATCGGTACATAGGCCAGAAAGTGCGCCAGAGGATGGGGGGGGGGGGATTTCGCAATTGGAGAACGCGGACATATAATATAGCTATATACAAGCGCGGTGTATAAGCCGAAGGCGCGTAATTGACGGTTGCAGGGGTCCCTCGCGCGCGGAGATGGTTGTAAGCGCGGAGAGGTAAAAACCAGCCGAGAGCTGTACAGGATACTTTTCTCTCTCTTTTTTTTCACGAGGATGAGGGGGCCGTGAGTTTTTTTTTTTTTTTTTACCGGTCGAGTTTTCCGCTTACCATTAAAATTTCGCAAGAATAACCTCTTGAGCGGTGATGGGGGGGGGGGGCAGAGTTGCGTAAAACCCCGGGAATTGGGGGGGTTTTTATTTTCCTTTTTTTATCTGCTATCCGCGGTGTATAATATATAATTACTTTTTTCCGTGAGCGGTATACTATAAAACGAGGAAAGTGTGGTAACTGCGCGCATATCCTCCGATAAGTAAATTCGAGATCGAGATGGAAAGAGAGAAAAAAATTCCCAGATGTTTCATAAAAATAACTCGTCACGCGGGGCGAAAGAGAGGCATCATCGTCGAGACGCGCGTTTCCTTGACAGTAAAAATAAAAAAAGGCGGAGGGTTGGGCGGGTAGGGGGTCCCAAGGAAAAACCACATGAAACGTTCCCATGCGCGGCAAAGATCTCACCCTCGCCACCGAGATCAATCCCCTCGTGCAACGTCATCATCGTCCCTCCACACCCCCCCAGTCGTATCCTCGATGTACACGCGATGAGAAAGATCAGAGACTCTCGCCGTCGCATATTTTTTTTTTTTACGCGCACACACCCCAGCCCCCTTTTTCTCTTCCAAACGCGCGCGCACGCGTAAGAATCCGAAAAATTCTTTCCCCGTAAAGATCGAAATCTCTCGGTCTCGCGCCCAAACGAGCCAGATGCACGGAGATACATCCCCAGAGCGCTGCGGTCGAGGGGTTATCGATGAATCACGGCCCCAGTTTGGTCATCTCACCCCACCCCCGCGCTGACACCTTCATATTAAGCGTAATGTATAGATAAATTCTCCGTTGCACACCCGAGTTTTTTTTTCTTCATTTCTACTGCCTCTCGCGAGCATCCACGGTGTATCTTTTTCTCACTGGAGAACAACGAAAATAATAAAGCACACCACGCCTGCATCAAGACGTTCCAGGCGCACGATAAGCCAGGGGACACGTAGAGAGAAGCTGATGGTTGATACGAGAGGTCAGGTCCTCGGGCGGTCTCACCCACGTCCTGTTTTCACATATACACATGGACGATGGCTCCATTGCTTACGTGCTCCATTGTCGTACACGGTATGCACATCATATTCGTATATACGACACGAGGAGTATGAGATCGGTAAATTTACGAGACGGTGGCGTTTTTGGGTCATACTCGTACCCTTTATACGTATATCTATATAATATGTATAAAAGAGGATGCGCTCACACGAGATGTACACCTATACGTACAGAGGGAGGCCAGAGATCACGAGAGAGGGTCTCTCGTGACCGCCGCTTCCTTAGGTGCTCACAGATGGGTAGATCGAGGGGGGGTTTCGCCGAGGCGCGAGAGCCTCTCTCCAGGGACACGTGTCATTTGTCGCCACGGCGCCGATAAATTTGCGCCGGCTCTTTAACGGCGTCTCTAGGTTCCTCGGGGGTGCTTTTTTTCACCAGAGAACCATGTATACGGACAGCCGAAAAAAAAAAAATATATATATATATATATGGGGCGTCGATTAGTATACATACAATGTGATGCACGTATACGTGGGGCGCGACGAGCCGGAAAAAATCGCTACTGCAGGCGAAGGCGCTCGGGCGCAAGATTCTCCATACCTGCGAAGGGACGTCTGAAATTTCGGGAGCCTATGGCACGCTTGGACGGACGATTCTCTGGCTCCGATGCTTGCTCTTGATAAGCTCTGGGGGGAGAGGGGGGTTCTTATTTTTAATCCTCGGAACTTTTTTTGGGGGGAGGGTAGAAAAATTTGCTCCCACTTATGGGCACCTAATAAGAAACTAGTATGTATACGGTTGATGGCTAGTTGGTTCGACGCGGGAGAGAATATCAGCGAGAGAGAGAGAGAGAGGGGCCTTGTATCGCACGACGAGGGGGGAAGATACTTAGATGCACTATAGTGTAGGATAAAATGGCTCGCCGAGCGGAGGATGAGGAGGCGATGAAAGGAATATATATATATATATATATACATATACATAAACACGTATACATACCGATCATCGGTAGTTAAGGGCGCGAGGAGGGAGAGGCGGAGGACTCTTCGATTGCTTCCCTCGGGTATACATGTATGTGTATTGCGGACGCTCGGGTTTCGTTGAACGNTACATGTATATATATATATATATATATATATACGTGCACAGTACACCAAACGCCAAAGACGACAGCTGAGGATGCTCCGGAGGAAAGATCGGTCAGTCCTCTCCTGCACGTGCATCGAGATGCTGGGGGCAAGTAGAGCCGAAGAGGAATCACCGTAACGTAACCCACTTGCCTATACACGTGGATATATATATATATATATAAACCCCTGTACCGATTTTTATCCACCCACCTAACCCATGTATAAACTCCTCTTGCCGATCTCATCGGGTATGTATACAGTGGCGTCGTCGTACGATCGCCTTTTTTTCGCCCCCGTTTCCATTTTACCGGTAACTACCACTTATGTGTATACATATAGCAATAAGAAGAGAACCAAGACCGGAGATTTCAACGTGTGTCCCTCTTCCATCCGAACTTGGTGAGACGTGTGTGTGTGTGTGCATACAAACTTCTCGGTCTCTCTGTACTTGTGCGCGCCGTTACTCGGGGGTATATACATACCCTGAATTCCGGTAAACCGTGTAGCTATGCCGATTTTTCGCCTTACACTTGTACACCTGTACGTAGATATACCTACATCGGTGGGCGATGTACTGTGCTTGACTATATTTACGTACAATATCGAATGATTTTCGGCAGTGTCCGGTGACGCCTAACAACGCGCCATCGTGTTCCCCGAGAACAAAGAAAATCTTGTGACGTGCAAGCGCGACGGAAAACACACGAGAGCCAAGAAACACCCGGACCACTTGGGCGACCGTGTGCGCGAGTGTCTGTATTATAGTGCATGCGTCTTCGAGGTGCCATCTCACGATTGGTAAATAGCCCGTGTATACGTACATAGCGGCGCGGTCAAACACGACGACGAGGACCTCTCGGAACGAAAGATGAGGAGAATATATACTTGGAAGTAGAAAAGGGACCCTGTTTTATTAACCATATACGTGTGTGCTAAGCGCACTCGTGTAGGTGTGCCAACAGGAGGGGCCCAACAAGAAAAAGCGTCCGATTATTTCGCACTTGCGGGGGTCGTGTGTTGAACGAAACGACGCCGACGACGACTTAACGACGCTCGGGATAAGGAAAAGACGGAGGGAACGCTCGAGTGGAATTTCGGGGGTTCCCCTTTTTATCTCCTCCGTCCGCGTTCGCTGTTTCTTCGCTATCGAGGGGGATGATGTGTACATACTGTAGCGTCATCTACCTCACATAATATATATATGTATATATATATATGAGACGCGAGTACATAGAGATATAAGCCATGGCTTATATCTCTATGCGCGAGTACCTACCAAAGTATGTATACTGTATGAACTCAAATCTCTTTCTAGAGCCTAGGACAAATGGGAAGCCATCAAGTACACGTGCGACCTTTCCTTTTGCTCCTTATTCTTTGGCTCCTTGTTTTCCCTTTTTTGTACACCCCACATGCGACAACGACGTCTTTTGGTGTACGTAATACGCACAGCTTTGCGCCATTGAGATCCGAACCACCTTAAAGAGAACACGCACGTACAATATATTGCGTATATATACCTGCGTGGATG